ATTGTAGCCTACACTCTAAAAAATGCTGGGTTATATTTAACCGAGCATTTTTTAGAGTGTATAATAGATTCAAAAACACTGAAAATGTTGCTTATGTCAGAATTCAGAATTCAAAAGCTGTAACAAAGTTTACTTAAGGGTTTCACATTGGTTTATCAAACATAATACCAGCTGTATAATACATTGTTTTGCCTGAGAGAAAAATCTGACGCTTCTCATTCGGGATCATTAACGGAAATTATCTGTCCAGTAGTCTTGTGCACGAAAGATTTTTGAGTGTGCGAGCACGCCGTGCACTTAATCGACAACAAACCTCTACGCGCGCCTCTACGCACGCACGCACGCACGCACACACACACACACACACACACAAAGCAATCTTCAGGACTCCACAGATATGAGAGTTTCTCTCGCGCTCGCCGAGTCAAAGCCACCAGCATCTCCGGAGCGCGCTACAAACAGCTCGTCCAGCAAAAGTTGATTTACCTCTTAATTAAGTTACAAATATCACCACGGACAGTCTCCAGTTTGGCATATTCCCAGTTAGCAGGAGCAAGTTGGTCGACAAATATTGGTGTAAGGTAGGAAACTTTGCAAAGCGCAATTTTTGGGGGCTCTGTCCGCCGAAGATTAACCATGTAGTTTATTAATAGCCGTCGGTCAGTGTATAAAGAGTTATGGATATTCATTCTGTTTAAATAATTCGAACAATATCTAATAATAAATATCAGTATAAGACTAATGTAGGCTAGATAAGTGCTGTGTGTGATGACAGATTCCAGGCTATTCCGGGCTCATTCGTGACTGCAGTAAACAACGCTGCTTCTCATGTAAATGGGATATTAGCAAGACAGGTGAAGCGCAGGTGCTATTTACACTAATTACTTAGTGTTATTAGAGCGTAATTGTTACTTGGTAACATCCTAGTAAAGTCTTCATTCTATATTGTAGCAACCGTCTTGTAGACAAAGGTGGTTGAAAGAGACTATGTAAATATACTTACTGTTTTTAAATATACTTACTGGTTTATCATTGCTCCTAAATGGTGTGAACAACATGGTAATTCTTAATCCAGTTTTACTTATCCAGATTTACAATTTAGTTGTTAGTCTGTTTAGAAACACATTTGTATGCATAGATTACTTGTAAATTTTCCAAGAATATTATACAAAATAAGGTTTGAAACTCTTATATATATATATATATATGTATGTATATGTATGTGTGTATGTATGTAGCCTACATAATATATTTTATTTCCAACAACTCATCAGTAAAAAGCTGTTTTATGCACTATTCACTTTCTATGGAGTTTGAAACCATAATTTTAATACAAAAGCATTAAATTAACATTACCATTAGAATATAAAAATAATAAATAATAAATAAATACACCTATGCAAAAAAAAGAGAGAGAGAGAGAAACAGCCATGCAAATTTTGCATAAATTAAGCTGTCATTCAGCTGTAGCTGGTTTATGACCAACATTTGGTTTGTAGTTATGGATAAACTTTGCTATTTGATAAAAAAAAAAATCTAAGTAAAATATCATTTCATTTACTTTCCTTACTCCATGCTGTAGAACATACAAATTGTATTTCTTACATTTGGTTCCACCAATCCTGAATATGAGGTTATAGACTTGCATTGAACTGCAAAACTACTAATACAGTAACAGAAGCCCTGACTCAAAACCCCCCTGTGTGTGAGCAGAGATCGCACCTTGCTCTTGGAGAAAATTGAACTCATGACTATGAGAACCAGTGCTGTTCACAGAGAAGAAGCATCCGGCCAAGAAGGCAGGCATACAGTGAGCCAAAAGACGCAGCCTGTTCAACTCTCAAGCGAGATGTGTCAGTTTTGACAGCATACATAGTGTAGCTGGTGAACTGGCTCTGCTATGGAGCCATTTGACAACATGTTGACCAGTATCATTCCCAGACCAATAATTTCAACCCTTAGCATTGCAAATATTTGTTGCTGCTTAAATTAATGTGCCATTTGTATAGTCATCTATGTTAAGTAGTTAGTTATGGACAAAAGTTGTGGTTTAGCCTGACTAGCAGGTATCCATAGTCTGTCTTCTACCATGAATTAAACAGAGAGAGACTGGTTGAAAAAAAGAATAAAGGCGTAGAGAGAGACCCTTAGCTGACAGTCCTGACAACCTGTCTCTTCAAATCAAACCCAAATGGTCTCTAGATATACCTGTTTATTCAAGTCTGTGGAGCATAATGTTTCGTATTAATGTCATGAGATTTTCACATTCTTGCATTGTTGTATGTTGCATGTGGTCTAATCATGCAATGCAATTCATATTGTGATCTGACACATCACACCTGCTGTGTTTGCAAGACTCTCACAAACATGTCTGGGTGCATCGAGTGTGTTAGTTTATTATGTTTTATTTTTACCCACAGAACATGTCAGCACCTATCAGTAGCCTTTCGACTTTTCTCAGAGAGAGTGTGACCGTGTGAGTAACAGTGGGGTTGCAACTTGCATTGTCTCATCACATGCCTCTCTCCATCCCAACACAGCTCCAACTGTTCCACCCACATGCAGCATACACTTTACCGTCTATCATATAAGTTAGCACAACACACTAAACATCTACCACTAATTTTTCTGCTGCAGAGATTTTTTTTTAAGAAGTTGCTTCCAAAATGTGAAGAGTAGGGCTTTCAATTTAACATTTTGGTGTAGTTCAATCAATTATATTTAAATGATATTTATATATAATTATATTTAAAAGTAATATGTAATATATATATATATATATATATTATTCAGTAATATACATTTGATGAATCACACATATTTTATGCATCATATATGTATAGCATATATATAGATATTCATCAAATTTATATATGCTATATATATGATGCATCAAATTTAAGATACGATTCAGTTAAAAAATGATTGGCAACTCTAAACTCTCAATGCAGTAGTGATGCATAGATCAAATTGCTGCAGCCTCAGTCTCCAATGTCAATGTTCTGACAGAAGGCCAGGTTCATCATTCCTTTTGAATCGTGAGTGGATGATTAAATGCAGGGCTGCTATTTAAAGACTTGCTTATTCTCAGAGAGGTAGAAATAATGGCAAGGACGTCAGCTTTTGACGTTGAAAGAGCGTAACGGTGCCCAGGTGATTGAATGTCTCTCTATGTCTTCAAGGCGAAGCTTGAATGTAGGCTGGGATTGTTTCAGACAGGTCCGAGATATTTGATGTTATCAGGGGAGGAACGAAGCAGATCAGCTTAGTGTGGCAAAGTAAGCAGGTGAGTTTGATCAGGTGATATGGAGGGATTTTTGTTTGAGAAGGTCTCCTGCTGTGTGACTTCTGCAGTCTTTAGTGTTCTAAGTCTGCAGCATTTCAGGGGTGATAAGTGTGTTGTTTGTTGGTGCTACTAAGCTCTGAGTGGAGATTGCAAGTCTTTGAGAGATCAGAAGCCCCTCAGTTTAGAAACAGTCTGGCAGGCATGAACAGCGAATGTGTGACCCATAAGACCTAACCCATTTCACAAGAGCTGATTCTGAACCAGCCTGTGGGGAGTGACATAATCTCTCTCAGGACTGGTAACAATCGGTTACCACAGCTTTGGGGAAGTAATTAAAAAAAATAATTATAACAGTTCTTCTCAAAAACTAATTCATGTACAAAAACAAGGTCCTCTGAGCACAAACCTAAGAATTGTGGGCAACATACACCACACACACACACACACACACATATACATATATATATATATATATATATATAT